GGAACACAGCTGAGTGGCAGAGCGGGGGTTGAAAAGTGATGACAGAGTTCACAGCTCAGAAATATTAATATTAATAATAATAATAAAACCTATCTTTACACTTAGTGGCCTCAAATTCTTTTTGAAATGGTGAAGGACTTAAATTATACTTGGAAACCTTTCAACAGAGTATTTTTCCAAATATTTATCTCAGTTGACTCACATCAATTCTATGCAGCAAGTAGGTCAGTGTCACTCACTGTCCCCACTTCAAAGACAAAATGACGGTGGCACAGCAAAAGTACATGACTTGCCCATGGCCAACCAGCTGACTCAGTGTTCTAACTCTAAGAACTGTGCTCTTCCCTGCATTCTCCCGGGACCATTCACGTCGGACACACCGATTTTAGAACTCAAAACAGAAAAGAGCTAAGAATGAAGCCAGAGAAGTAAATATAAATATATCCCTCTCCAGGGATACCTGAAATCCTGAAAACTACCTCTTCCTAGTAGAACTTTAATAAACTGAGTAATATTCATGTTGCGAGGTACCAGGTGGAGATACCAAACTTAAACCTGGACAGAGGAGTAACCGTCTCCACTAGCTTTACAAAGATGTCTGTGAAAATCCGGTTTTATGTTTTATTATGAACACCCCGTTCCATCTCACCCTTTTAAAATCTAGTAGCTCTCCATTTTTAGTTAAGGCACTGCCCTGGCCAGTACTAGTGATCTGTCATTTAGGTATCTAACACCTCTTTCTTGAGTTTTTCTCAGTTAGGACTGTCCTTGATGAGTGTTTTTCACATTTCATTTTTTTTTTTTTAGAATGGCTTACAGAAGAAATGGATTTAACTTTGTAAAGCACAGACATGTATGTGCTATAGGAACCAAACTTTCACAAAACCCAAATTACCCTTCCTATGGGTGGTTTTCCTGGCATATTTTCTATGACCTCATACTTTTTCATTTTTTAAAATATATTTTATTTTTATATATATTTTTTATTGATTTCAGAGAGGAAAGGAGAGAGATCAAGAGATAGAAACATCAATGATGAGAGAGAATCACTGATTACCTTCCACATGCCCCCTACTGGGGATGGAGCCCTCAGCTGGGGCATGTGCCCTGATGAGGAATCAAACCGTGACCTCCTGGTTCATAGGTCAATGCTCAACCACTGAGCCACAACAGTTGGATTCATTTCATTTTTTAAAATTGTAATTATGGATGAACACATTGATTTTGACTCAAAAATGGGTCTGAATAACACTGGCTTAGGTGAACCATACACAGATCCAGCTTCAAAGAATTTATACACTAGTTGGGAGTCTCATGGGTGCTTTGTTCACGGACATATTACAGCTGGAAATCCTTAGAGGTCAATCAGGTCAACTATCTGCTCTGTAACTGACTGGACATCCCTGGCAGAGGGGGACGCACCTGCAGGTCTTTGAACATCCCTAGGACAAGAAGTCGCCTCCTGTTTGGAATCTAGCACAGGACTGCTCACAGAAAGACCTGTTAAAACGGTACAGACCTGAAACTAAATGAATCAAATACCTAAACATACATCCCATTTCTTGTGCCTGAAAGACAACTTCAACCTTTGTTTCCTAAACCCATCTCCGCCTTTTCCAGAAGGACGAAGAGGGCAAGGTCAATCAGGGGGTCGGAGGTCTAGAGAGGCTCCTCTTTGATGATTTGAAGAAGGCGTCTTAGCAAGTTAGGAAACGACACGACAAGCAGCCTTCGCCACTGGAGGCCTGCATCGGGGGCACTCACCATGAGGGCTGGGAGGCTGGCGTTCGGCAAAGGCTCCGGGAGGACATCCCAAGTGAGCTAGCTCTGTCTTTGAAAGATGGGCTGCAATCAGAAGGGTGGGGAGAAAATGGGGGGGGGGGGGGGTGTGATCAGCGTGCACACGGATGCCTTAACTCAGAATCCTACTTAGATCCGTCTTGTTCACGTAAAAAAACAGAAAAGCTGGGCTATCCATATTGCATTTAGGTAGCAATGCCATCCTCCCCTCCCCCCCCTTGCATCCTCTTACATTTCTCAATGCCGTGTGAGCCTTATCAGGAGCGACCACTACATGCGTGTGTCCTTGATGAAAGCTGTAGACCTTATATTCTTGAAGCGTGTCCCCCATGCTGCCACAGGCCCGATACATCATGGAAAACCATTTTTCCCCCTTTTTGGCCAAAATTGAATTTTGTACAGGCCATACCCACGCAATCAATAGTCAGAAGGTTGTTGAAAGCTAATATACAAACAGGGACCTTTGCAGGTGTCAACTATCTGGTAATTCTGGCTCGGCGGGACCCAGGGGCAGTGCCCTCTGAACCTTAGCAGGAACTCGGGTCTGTCTCGGGGAACACACACATCCGGGGCGACTCACACACACGGTCCCTGGAGGCAGAGTTAAGACAGGAGGACAACAGAGCTGAGTGTCCCCACGGGCACTGGGCTTCCTCGGCCTCCTTCCAGCCTGAGAACCCGGGGAGCTCAGAGTCTTGGCTAACTTCTCATAAACATCACCTTTTTTAAATTTATTTTTTCCCAATCTCAAAAGGGCTGTCTTCCCAGGGCCTCCAAGTTTACTCTGAGTTCTTCCTGAATCGGGAGCCTCGGGGGTAGAACATGCCTTCGTGGAGTCGATGGTTTTCCAACAGGGAAGCTACTTCCGGGAAGGGTTCTGCTCCAATTTGAGAAAATGTCCGTCCGCGTCAGGTGTCTAAGACCACCAACCCCATCCGTGTTACAGGACTGTGTGGGGTCCCGCAGAGCGGCCACCGGCGGTCCAGCCTCAGCCCAGCGTCCCCGCCACGTGAACAGGTGGCTGTGACCCCCGTTGCCACCTAAAAATTCAAGCCGGGGGGTCCCCACTGGAGTCTGAAGGCGCCATGGGGGGCGACGGGAGGCCATGACTGTCCTGTGACCGCTGCCTGCGCCGGGCGGTGAGGAGGGGGTTCGGGGCGAGTGCTGGGAAAGAGAGGGGGGACCCCTTCCCCGCCCGCCCACCGCGGGGTCTGAGGGCCGCCCGGTCCCTGTCAGGTGTTGCTCCCTCCGGGGTCACTTCCGCTTCCGGGTGGAGCCCAGCTTCTCAGCTGCTCATGTCAAACCTCCCGAGCAGGCCGTGCGGGCCCGGGGCGGCCGGCGTGGAAAGCCGAGGTTTTCCGCCCTCAGGAGGAGCCGGGGGTCCCGGCGTGGGTCCCGGGGTCACCGTGACGTGCGCGGACGGGGCCCCGCCCTCACCCGGCGCCTGGACGTGGTG